ATATTGACTTTCCTGTCATTGCATTACTTTTCCATTGCTGATTTCCTTTTTTTTTTTTTTCTACTTTTTAGTTTAACTGTTTATATCTGATCAGGTGTATTCATTCTTTTCATTTATTGGCATTGTTGGCTTCATTGTCTCTTTTTAGGATATCCTTGAGAATTTTTTGTAATGTTCATTTGGTGGTTATGAGTTTCTTGAGGTACTCCTTGTCATGGAAATACCTTATTTATCATCAATTTTGGAGGAAACTTTTGCAGAATACTTAAGTTGTGGTTGGAAGTTGTTATCTATTAGGGCTTGAAACAATCCACTCCAAGCCCTCTTGGCCTTTAAGTTTTGTGTAGAGAAGTCTGCTATAATTCTCGTGGCTTTACCTTTATATGTGATTTGTTGCTTTTCTCTCACAGCTTTTAAAATTTTGTCCCTGTGATAGACTTGTGGTACTTTGAGTATAATGTGGTGCAGAGTTCTCTTTTGGTCGTGGCTATCTGGGGTTCTGTATGCCTCACTTATCTGTATGTTTTTTTCTGTCCCTATATTTGGCAAGTTTTTGCCATTATTTCTGTGAACAGTTTTTTTTAAATGTCATTCATATTGTCTTTTCATTTTTCACTTATTCTAATTACTCTTAGCAGTCTTTGTGTTATCTAGCAACTGTTGGATTCATTTTTCATGTTCTTTTATTCCCTTTAAGGTGTCTTTGAGTAGTTGGTCTTTGGTGGCATCGCTGTCTTCTAATTCTGAAATTCTGTTCTTATATTGGTTGCTTCTGCTGCTCATATATTCAGTATAATTTTAATCTCCTTGATTTATGATTAAAACTTTTTCATGAACTCTAATTCTTTACTAAACTTGTGATTCATGTTTTGTATTGTTTTGTTTTATCTCATCTAGCTCTTTATTTGTGTCTTCTGAAAGCTTCTGGATCATTTTGACTATTATTTTCATTAACTGTTAATCTTCTGTGATTCTGCTGAATACCTCTTTGACCTGTGTTCTAAGCTCTTTTGCTATCCTTTTGCATAATTCAGGTATGTGGCTTATGCTATTTTGCCCCTTGATGCACCCTGGATTGGCTTCAGGGAAATCAAGAGTTTTGGGAGCCATTTTGTTGCCTCATCTTTTCATGTTTCTATTGTTTTGATTGCTTGTTTGTTTTGTACTGAGGTTGTGACTGCTTATAGTGTAAAGACTTTGTTGCTAGTATAGTGATCTTTCTCATTGCTTGTCAGTAATGTAATTTGGGCTTGGATAACTATAGTCCTTGTGTCAGCCCCAAGATCCAAACATCTTGGTTAACTTGGGGGAGGGGAGGAGGCAGTGTAATTAGCTCAACAACTTAGTTCCCTGAGAATGTACTCTAGTTACTAATATCACAAAAGTAATCTGAATATTGGCTTATAGGAAAATAGTGACAACTGTGCTACCCTGGTAATATCAAGCAAATCAGCTGTAGTAGCATAGTTTTGTTTTTCGTTTTTTTTTTTAAACAGGTTTCACTATGTAATTCAGGCTAACCTTGAACTTTCTGTGTAGCCCAGACTGGTCTTGCCCTCACAGCGCTCCTCCTGCCTCAGCTCCCCAAGTGCTGGGATTACAAGCATGTGCCACCACCCCTGGTTATCAGTAGTATAGTATCAGTAGTATATCAGGATAAATTGAATATTAACATACCATAAGAACCAATTACATACCATCCTTAACCCTAGTGAAAAAAACTCAAAATCGTGGTGTAAACATTAAGACAACCCAGGTGTTGACTTAAAGCTAACATGTACTAAATGTGACATATATTTCCACTAATGGTGGGAACGAATTAAAAATAATTTTACAGAGTGAGTTATCAAAAGATTCAGAGTATGGTAATGCTAGAATACAAGAAGAAGAATTTGGAACTACAGTGGTACCTTGATTCACAAACTTAATTTGCTTCACGATTCTAGAAAAGACAACCATGTTCATCTTTGTGTGGGAAAGATGGCCATGGTTGTGTTTGTCAGCCCATGCAGACTTTACAAACAAAACAAAGTTTTGCCAAACACTTTTGTTTGTGAACCAAACTGTTCACAATCCAAAGCATTCATGAACCAAGATATCACTGTATATGATAGAAGAAGGAAGACAGAGAAATGGAACAAAGAATCTAATTGGGGAGTAAAAGGATTAGAATTAGGTAAAGGTAAGAGGCAAAGCTGATATATATATAGATCAAAGAAAAGAGGGAGGAAAAGAAAAGAAATTATGTAAGGATAAAAGTAAGGGAGAAAAAGAGAAGAGGAAAAAGTAAAGAGAAAAAATAAGAAAAAGAGATTAAAAACATAAGGCAGAAAGACAGAGGAAAATTCCCCAAACCCCAATAAACAAGTGAAGAAGAAAGGAGAAAAAAAAAAGAAAAAATGCAAAACAAATCAAAACAAAAACCCCTTAAAACAGTGCACACAGTCACGAAAAACAGAAACAAAAGAAATTACACTGTTATTTCAAACAAGTGATTTTTCTTTCAGGATCTACAATTTTGGAGCAGTGTCTAAGTCAAGACCTGTCCCTGCTCACACTGGTAGATGAAGAATGCAGTCAGACCCCAGATCCATGCTGGATGCAGGCACCAGCAGGCAATAGGATTAGGGCACTGGCATCAAGGCTGCAACTTTCAAATCCAGAACAATTCAGGCTAAACTTGGCTTCTGGCTGTGGGTATCGGACCTGTATCCTTTAACTTAAACCCCTCAGAGGGTCTGTTTCCAGCTGACCAGAGCTCCCTGACCACAGCTGTCTCCTGTGGCTGTCCCTCACCTAATCACTGTGGGAATGTAACACTGGGAGCCTTGACCTGAAGCTGTCCCATGACTGCTCTGAATCCTGAGTTCAAACAGTCAACCCCTCCCTGGAATGATTTTGAGGTTGATGGGTCTGTTCTTTCTGTACCAGAATGGGTATGAGCCACCTGGACTTCTTGCAAAGATTAAAACATTACTTGCATTGACTGGTTTGTTTGCCTCATAGGCTTGAAGTGAAAAGGCATAGAATAAGTTTGAAGGTGAAGGTCACAAATTGTTTCACAAAGTTGCTGAAAGAAAAGTTAACAAGATGATTTACTATTCCCCTATTGTTAAATTACTAATTACATAACTGCCATAATTTCCATAAAACATTTGGAAAATATAGAAAGTATAAATGTAAAACTCCCATAATCTGACAATTGCTGTTAACATTTTGACATATTTATTGCCAATTTTTTCCTGATGATGATCTTTTTTGTTTTGCATAATCAGATCCATGTACAATTCCATAGCTAGTTTAGTGAGCTAATATTATAAATATTTTCCATTAAATTATGGATTTTAGTTTTTTCAAGCAAAATTCTTTCAGTAGTTTAATGAGCAAATCAAGACCCTTCTGTGTTATAGTTAGTGGAGAGGTAGCAGCAGGGTGGAAGGTAATAGGGTCCTGGACCCAGGCAGTCCTCATTTTGAGCCCTGTTTAGGAGCAAATAACAACGCTGAGGGTAGTGTGAGGCTCATCCAGGTCCTAAGTAAATCTCCTTCCTCCCCCTATATGTACTGAGAGTGGCAGACCTGTCTAAGAGTGATTTAAAAATTAGGGCCTTTCCAGAGATTCCTCCAGGCCCTAGAACTAAAACATTTAACAGAGAGAGACCTTGCACCTCTATAAGTCTGCAAGAGAGACCACTGCAGCATCTTCATCTCTTAAAGAAGGGAAAGTGTAGTTGGCAGCCATTTCTCTGTTCAAGCATGATGGCCTTCATGTGACTCAGTCTAATGTACTGACTCCCCAAGTTCTCTTTGCACCTTCTATATAGTAAGTAACCATATGGTAGGAATTATAAGTAGCTTACTTGTCCCCAGTGTAGGGTGTTTTTTTTTTTAGTAATCCAGTTTGTTAACTATAGGTAAGATTATGTGATCCAAGATGAAAATAGGATCTTAGAAAATTGTTTTTTTCAGATTGTGCATTGCATCTAAGACATGAACATACAATAGTTTGTTTACTTGCAGAGAAATGTGCTCTCAGCCGCGAGAAATTCAGACTTTTTTTCTGTTGTTGGCTGAATTGTTTGAATGTGATATAAAAATTAAAATTCCCAAAGTAACAATGATACTGTGTAACCAATCATTTATATTAAATACAAGTTTATTGAAGTGCTTTTCTCTCCATTTGGCATGCTTGCTCCTTTTTTGTTTTGTTTCATTTTGATACTAGGAATGGAAATTGGGATCTTGTGCTTGTGAGACAGGCGACAGAATCACTGATTTAAATCCCTGGCCCTACATTTGTCATGCTTGCTCCTTCTTAATCAGACCTAAATTGTTTCAAGATTGTCATCAGCATGGCTCATGAGGAAATCACACATTATGGGAACAGGTCCACTTGATTTTGAATCCTGGCACTTGGAATCACTGTTTGTATCTTAGCAGTAATATAGAAGCAATAACATGTATCCTCTTGGATAGCCATGAGGGTTACATGAGATGAAGCTTATTAAGCAAAGTACCTAGAGCCTTGCCTCTGAGTCACCAGTGGTTGTTGTCTCTTTCCGGCATTGCTGTTGCAGGCCCTCAGGTCTCATGGTCCTAAAATTAGGCTATTTAGTACTGTGTTAAATATTTAAAGATTCATGAGGAAGATAAAAATAGCCCACTTGGCCAGAGATTTATGGTTCAAAACCATTCTTTAGAGAGTGAAGATCTTAATTTCATACTTACTGGGCTCCTTTCTCAAACCCAGGCTAGAGACCATCCATGTCTGCAGAGTTGCTAGGAAAAAAAAAAGTTTTCAGACTTCTCATTTGAATACATTTGGTTTTGCTACTTACAAAAAAGAATCCCAAAACTTTTAGCAAAGGTTTTGTGATCTGTTGAAAGAAATATATCACACAAATCATTCACAAGTGTACAAGAAGAGAAATCATGTCAGAATTGCTTTTTGGGAGAGATAAGCTCCAGCAGTTATCATGTAGATGTAGATCAGTTCCTACATTATAAGTTTTCCCATTAACCCTCAGAATGGTCCCTTGCCAGTGGACTCTGTTCAGAGCACCGCTGACCCGCCCAGCCATGGTATGTTGCGAGACAGCCCCAGCTGCATTCCCAGGCAGAATGCTTCTGCCCCTCCAAGCTGTGGGTCTCTTGCCCAGAGGGGTTTTCTCTCTATGCCAATTTTTGCTGTTTATTTCTGACTTGTGGCAGCTTGTCTTAAGCACTGAATAAACAGAAAGAATCCATCACTCAGTCTGGTGCCTTAGTTCACCACAGGCCAGGGCATAGTATTGCCCTGGATCTCGTGAAAATGAGCCTTGCCCTGCTATGCTAAAGCACTTGTGCCTCATGCCATAACCCCTACTATCTCCGCTTTAAGAGTAAGGGAAGCTTTCAGCCCTGAGCTTGGTTAGCCCGGGGCTAACCAAGGTTAGCCCAATAACTTCTGACAAATGAGTTTAAGAAGATTCTTTGTGCCTGTACTTAGTTTATTCCTTAATCCATGAAGATAATCATTACCATAGTCCCAGAACCTAACTTCAAGCTGACCGTTTCTTGGTACCCCTAAAGGAGAGGCTTCTTAGGCAGTGTCAGTTCTGATTTGTGCCTAGAAAGTCATTTGTTTAGAAGCTTAGTACATGGTGGGAATACTTCATCTGCTGGGTTCAGGAGTGCAGATGGTAAATACCTTAAAGGTTGTTCAGCTACTAGACAAGCAGCCCTCACTGGGCTGGGGAGATTTTGCCCAGCCACTTGAATTGAGCTCCAGGGATCCTTCATATTTTTGTCCTAAGCGGACTCTGTGGAATCAGGGTCCTGAGGGACAACTGTACAGTCTAGTTTCGACATTGCATCAGTACATGCTGCATTTGGCCACAATGTGCTGTTTCTCTTTCCAGCTTCCCAGTGCAATGTCAGCTTAAAGAAGCAGAGAAGCCGCAGCATCCTTAGTTCCTTCTTCTGCTGTTTTCGGGATTATAATGTGGAGGCCCCTCCATCCAGCAGCCCCAGTGTGCTTCCGCCACTGGTAGAGGAGAATGGTGGGCTTCAGAAGGTCAGTGCTGATGAGGAACTGTGTGCTCAGTAAAAAACTGCAGTAGTGGCACATCTGCCCTATCCTTGGCATATATCCCTCGTAAGAGTATGTGACAGTATGTATGCAGCAATTTACAGATTTGAAAACATAAAAACTAATGTGTTTTAATAACAAGTATGTTAGCATTTAGCAACTAAAGAATGTGTTTGATGGAAATTATGAATCACTTCACATTTTTGTAACTTCCATTCCTGTGAAATTGAATGTATAAAATAGAGATATTAAAGAATCAGTAGTAGACACAGAAATAGAGACATGTAAAGAGCTAAAAATAAATATAATTCAGTTTGACCTTATTTAATAACAAGCAACGTCCATTCTTTTATATGTAACAAATAAAAATGTGACATTGTCACAGTAGGTAAAAAACCAGAATCCACCCACATGCTGTCTTATTGATATAGCTGAACCAGAGTGACTCCGAACTTAAAAAGATAAGCATAAAGAGACGAACAATCAAGTGTAAGACTGAACAAGGTTATCATATTAATCCATCAGAATAAAACTTCAGGTAAAAATTATTGAAAGGGGTAAGAAGATAGTCAAGATTGAGGATATGAAATTATAAATAGGGAGATAGATCTTTTGCAAATGGGAATGGGACCTACAGACAGAGGGAGGTACAGCGAAAGAAGATGAAGGAGAATAAGAAGAATTAAGTTAAAGTACGTGCACATACTCCCTAATATGAATGTGATCGTTATGTACAGCAAACATGTACTGATAAAGGAAAAATAAAATAACTTTATATCATAAATAACAAGAGCAAAGGTCATAAATATATAATTCACAAAATAAATAAATACATTTGGTCAAACATGAAAAATATCAAAACATGGGAAAATTGAAAACATGAAAAATGCCAGCATGGTTAGTAATCAGTGAAATATAAATTTAAACAGTGAGTACCCTTTTCCTTCTATCAGATCAAAGATGTCCTTAAAGATAATATTTGCATCTGACATGGGGTAGTGGGTAGGAAATAGATGATATAAATTGGTTATTGGTAAAAATATAAATTGATTATACCTTTCCAGAGGAATATTTGGCAGTGTGATCTTAAAATCTTTAAACTGTGCCTGTTGGATGTGCAAATTAATTTTATAGTGAAATTTTATAATTATGAATGTGCAATAATTTAACCATAGGATACCATCCAACATAAATTATCGTGTTGCACAATTGTAAGAAAGTCCAACTTGAAAAACGGAAATCTGAGACTCCTCCTAGGAAAAAAAATAAATGGAAGATAGAGAGGGGAGCTTAACAGATAACTTAGGACATCAGCAATGAGTACAAAAGTAACTTGTATAACTTTAAAAACTCAGTTTCTAAATATAAAAATTCAGTGAATAAATTTGAAAAAAAGATAAAAATAGGCACACCCAGGACCAGGGATTTAGCTCAGTGGTCCCACCACCTACCTCACAAGTGCAGGGACCTAAGTTCAATCCCTAATACAGGGGGAAAAAAAAAAAAAAAAAAAAAAAAAAA